CGGTTTTCCCAAGGACTATTTTGGAATATCATAACTTGTGGGATAATTTCATGGAAAAAATTGGAGTAATTGATGTTAATATTTTAATATTATTATTTCTTATTGAATTACATATAATGTTCATGTTATTTTTAGAATTTCTCTTAATGTTAGATTTGTGTGTATGATAAATATGCCCCTTCCGTCATCAATTCATCATATATGCTATGATTTTATATAAAATTAATATCTCATCCTAAAATGTCCCTCAAAATATTTGGTTAAGATTAAGATCATGTTTGGTCTCCTGATTTTGGCCAAATCCTTTTATTTTAAACTGTTGGCAAAGAATAAAAGAAAATGGAATAGACGATGAAGAGGATAACGTGGAGTAGAAAGAAAGATAAGAAGGTGAAGAAAAATTCCACCTTTAAACTGGAGTAGTGATGAGATCAAATATAGTGGGGTTCCCATTATAGCCACACAAATTAGGAGCCGGCATTGTTCATAGATGAGATCGAATCTATTGGAGATTTTTTTTTTTTTTTTTTTACTTTTTAGTTTTATTGATTTTAAAAATTAGAAAATGAAAAGAAGGCTTTTGGTTTGGTATCGGAAAAATAAATGCATATATAATTAGTTAAAGTACGGAAGACTAAAAAGACCAGTCCCTTTCAACCTGCAACAGTGAAAAATATGAAAACTTTGATTCCCTAATTTTTTCACATTTTTTTAAATATTAGACTTTATGTTGGAATCCTAAAATTTTCATATTTTAGTTAGAGCCGATAATTTGGGTTGAGCTTACGGACTCAACTCTCCAACCCGTCATAAGGTGGAGGGTTGGATTAAAGAAAATAGAGACTATTTTGATGCTGTCTTTTTCAACCTGTACCTGCCAACCCACAGCCCACCATTGGCTAGCCTGTTAGCCAGTTTTTTAAAAAATTTTTTTATAATTTTTATTTTAATTTTAATAAAAAAAAGTTTTATCATTTTCACTTAATCTACATATAACTTTGTATTTTGTTAGAGACTTTCATTCTAAATTTGATTTCTTTTTTTTATTGTTTTATTATTTTTATACTAATAAAATAACTATTAACAATGAATTATAAGTCTATATTTTAACTTTTAAAACTAATTTAATTATATAATTATATGAAAATATAAAAATAAAAAGAATTTCGTTTATAAAAATTTATAATTTAATTTAAAAAATTTTAAAATACGTGTAAAAAAATTTTAAAAAAAAGAATGGAAATTGGTGAGCCAACACGCCAACCACCCCTTGGAGAGGCGGGTTAGCAAAATAGGAGCCCGTCAAGAGGCGGTCCTTTCAACACCGGCCAGTATGGTCTTGAGCTCGCAATGGGTTGGCCAGTACCAGCCCGTTTTGCCACCTCTAATTTTAGTTCTTAAGCTGATTTAGTTTTCGTTCATGTTAATGATCCAATCAATGAGTTTAAATTTATTCTTTCTTCAAAACGTACAAGAAAATCTAAAAATGCGTCTAAACTATTTAAATTAAACTTTGGTAACGGCTAGAAAAACTTTGAGGCATTAGTTCAAGAACAACATAACAAGCGAATCGATATCCCGTTGTAACCTTCACTTGAAATATTTGAGTTCAAAGCTTGAAAGGAGGAAATATATAACTAAAGGGGTAAAAGTAAATATGATATAATGGGCATGCTTAAAAAAAATTTCTTTTTAGGAAGTATCTTATTGAAAAAAATTAATTATGTTTGAAATACTACCTAATATTAAATAATGCAAAAAATATGTAAATATGAAGTGAAAATAGCACAAATATTGCTGGATACACAAATCCAAAATAAATATGGGCTAGCCTTTACACATGAATGGGCCCAACTGGTGAAGATTATGCTAGAGAATCAATAAATTTAACTAACAGGACTTGGTTTTAGGGGAAGGTAATCTATCATAATATAATGAACTAATATTTGAATTTTTTTTAGGAGAGGTGTTTACATTTAGTTTTCGACACTGTAATATGGTTCGCCTGCTGTATTGCAATCCAAGAATTTGTTGCATATCCAAGAGAGAGGCTCATACAATCTAGGTCCTAATTTTCCATTAGCCATTAGTCAATAACGAATATCTACTCAGACTACTTGGCCCCACCCGTCGATAGGTGAGGGTGACTTGAGGGTTTTTAAAAGAAAAAGGACAACATTATAAATTTACCAACATTTCAAAATAATATAACTAATTTAGAATTTTGAAAATTTAGGTCCCCAATTGGATTTTACAAATTCAACTAGCATTTTATTAGAATTTTTCCCCTTACATTTCTTTTTTCTTTTAAATTTCAAAATATATGATACTATCTCATGTCTAGTTTTGAGTCTTTTGTATATCTCAAAATAATCGTTGTGTATTTAGTGTGTTTTATGAATTATTTATACTAAATTTGGATAGTTGAATATTACATTAGTTTTATATATTTAATTTAAGCCATAATTTTTCGAAACTTGAAAATTCAAAGTATTATTGGGCAGTTCGATCTTTTTTGTCTTCTATGGCATGATTTTAGATTTCTAAAAAATTTTGCATATAAGATATGATATCATGCTATAATTATGTATCAATGCGATAAGAACCATTTCGTAACCAGTCAATTCAAAATCCGGCCAATAAACGGTCAATAAATTGTTGGTAGGCTTTCGACGAACCAGCTATTATTGTATATTATTCTTTTTTGCCAGCGCTATTATTGTATATTATTACAAAGACTAGAATGTACGTGCAGTTGCCAACTTGCCATTATTGATTGTTGAAATTTAAAGGGATAATTAATTTCCGGGTCCTTATAATTTTATTTGATTTTTAATTAGGTCCTTATAAAATTTTTTCTTTTTATCAAGTCCTTATAGTTTCATTTATTTTTTAATTAGGTCCTTTGCCGTTTTTTAAAAAATTATTTATTAACTTTATTCTTTAAAATTAATTTCATTTTAACTTAATATTATATCATTGGAAAAAATAATTAATATAATCATTTAGTAATTAATAATTAATCAGAATAAATAATTATGCTTAACTATAAATTATTTATTATTATATTCTAATTTTAGAAAATTTTATTATTATAATTTGAATTTTATAATTAGAAAAATTAGAATTGAAAAATAAATAATATATTTGTTTAACTAAAAATTTAAAAGAATATTATTATTTATAGAATAAAGAATAAAAACTACAAGGACCTAATTAAAAATAAAGTAAAACAATAAGGACCAGATAAAAAGAAAAGAATTATAAAGACCTAATTAAAAAATATATGAAAGTATAAGGACCTAATAAAAAGGAAAAAAAAATTCTAGGAGCCCGATTAAAAACCAGTTAAAACTGTAAGGACTTACATATTAATTATCTCAAATTTAAAAACAGATAATCCCTGTAAAATCATATGCTGCATAATACTCTGTATAATTATTTCCCCTACCACTACACATTAAATAAGTTTAGCATTCAATGAAAATGATTTATAAGCAATTTTTAAAAAATATGAGATAAGTATTTGAGAAAATTTTATTTCAATTTAGCTAATGAGCACTAGGATCTATTTAGAATAACTTATAAGTAGCTTCTAAATTATGATTTACAAAATATGAGATAAATATATAAAAAAATTTTATCTCAATTTACATGAAAATTTGTTTATACGTGTTTTCTTTTTTTGAATTAGGTTATAACTCTCCCGGTATCCGACTCCCAAAGAGACTGACTAATTCGAAGTTTACCCACAAAAAAACGAGGTGAGATGTCGAAACCAAAACCTAGAGGCGAGTACACTTTCTGGGCACCCTTTCTAACCACCAGGCCAAGCGACAGAGCTCGTTTGTACGTGTTTTCAAGTGTTATTTCAGACCCTTGGTCTCTCCTTTCAGCTGCCTCCTCTGATGCCTGTGATCCCCAACCGTTGCTTTCATCTGATGGTGGAAGAAATTTCACCAATGCAAACGTTGTAGTTTGGCAGAATACTCGTCGAATTAGCCATCTTCCTTGTAGCGTGTCTTTGACGGATGGCCAGACCTTATCTTTCGAAGTTTGTGGGCGTGTGAATGGATTGCCATCTCCAAGTTGCCGAACTTAGCTGTCCTAAATAGTGGTGCTTCAGCTTTTGAGTTTTTCCAATGGCAAATCCTGGAGGACCCTGGGGCGATCAGAGTGAGTTGCAACATTAGTAGCGGTGTTCTTGAACAGGTAGAGAGCTTCGTGCATTGAAACCTTCAAATTGCAATATTCGCCAAGCTTCTTCCAACCTCAATCACCGTTCCCGCGCCCAAAAATTTGAAAGAATAGGTTTGGCCGTCAAAAAATCATTCCTATCTTCCAAAGACTTGAGTAAGGAACTTCCTCTCTTTATTTGCTTCATTCGTTTCAGACTTTGAATATTGTGTTTCTTGTTTCTCCTAGTTTTTCTTTGCTTAGGATTCCATATTTTATTTTGCGTATATCCTGATTGCACCATTAATTCTCTCAGAGTTTGTCAACCATTCAAATTGACCATGCGACATGTTCTGTTTTAAGTTTGTGCGAATTTTCTTTTATTTAAAAAAAAAAAACTTCAGGAGTATTTTGCTTGTGTCAAAGGCTTTGAAGTCCTCAGAGCAAAAGACACACCACTTCCTTTCTCTCTGTATAAATGTTAGGAATTGAGCTCCCGAAAGACAATATAAAATGTTTAGTTTATTTTGATATATGTTTAGTTTTGAGTATATTTGGCAAATGGGTTTAATGGTCTAGTTGGTCATAACTTTTTGGAATCTAAGAGGCTGTTTACTTAAATCCTACCATGACGATCCTTCACCAGTAATTCACTCCCGTGCTGGCACTGATAATGCATTTTGGGGTTTTAGAACTTTCTTTCTAGAGTGTGTGCAGGAGGCCAAGTTAGTTAGTACGTTCTATCTAAAAGATCGGGTTTAAAATTAGCTCACGGTCTGATGGTTGTATTTATATTTTGAATGGTCCAGTTTTGAATTCTCACAATGGCACTTGATGATCAAGGAGTTGGGTATTCTTCAAGTTGTTCTCGTTCAAATAGGACACACAACTATTACGTGTTTTTAAATTTTCGAGGAGAAGCCACACGTAAGAGTTTTACAGACCACTTATATGCTGCTTTGTGTCACAATGGACTGATAACTTTTAGAGATGAGGAAGAGCTTGGAAGGGGAGAAGTTATCAAACCAAGTTTGCTTCAAGCAATTGAAGAATCTTTGTCTGCAATTGTTGTTCTATCTAAAAACTATGCTACTTCCACATGGTGTTTAGATGAGCTCCAATAGATCCTTGATTGTAAGAAAGAGTTAGGCCTTCATATATTTCCAATCTTTTATGGCATAGATCCATCTGACGTTCAGCATCAAAAAGGAAGTTTTACAAAAGCCTTTGAAGAGCTTGAACAGAAATTGGCACATGACAAAGTGAAGGTGCAAAGATGGAGGGATGCTTTGAGAGAAGTTGCTGACTTGGCTGGCTGGAGCTCTGAAAATTGGTATTTCCTAGACTTCAGAAAATTATCATGATTTTTTGCTACAATTAATTAATGCTAATGTTCTTATTCTATTATCTTTTGTAGGTATGAAACGAAACTCATTGAGATAGTTACTGAAAAGGTAAGGTCAAGAATACATGGTCAACCACCATTCGATTCAAATGATGAAGGTGTTGATGATGGACTTGTTGGAATTAACGAGAAAATCGCAGATTTTGATTCAGTTCTGGCAATACATCAGAGGAAGTTCAATTTATTGGAATATGGGAAACGGGAGGGTTAGGCAAAACTACTCTTGCTAGAGCTGCTCATGAGAGAATACACAGAAACTATGAAGTTCATTTCTTTCTTCATAATGTTAGAGAGGAATCTGTAAAAGATGGTGGTTTAATTTCATTGCAACAAAAACTTCTTTCCCATTCAAAAAAATCAATCAGAATGGAAGTGTGTGACTGTTATGAGGGAAGAAAGCTGACAAGAAGAATGTTATGCAGTAAAAAAGTTCTACTTGTCCTTGATGATGTGAGTGACAGAAGCCAGCTTGAGAATTTGGCGAGAAAGGAAGGATGGTTTGGCAAAGGGAGTAGAATAATAATAACAACTAGAGATCAACATGTGTTATTGTTGCATGGTGTAGTTTCTCAGTATGAAATGAATTTCTTAAGTCACGATGAATCCCTTCAACTTTTTATTCAAATAGCTTTCAAAGGAGATCAGCCAAATGAAGATTATTTAGAGCTTTCTAGAAGGGCGATTAATTCTGCTCAAAACTTTCCTTTGGCAATCAAAGTGCTTGGTTCATTTCTTTGTGGAAGAAGCATACCAGAATGGGAGAATGCACTCAAGAAGATTCCTTTAGACCGCCTTTTTGATATACTTAAAGTGAGCTTTGATGGACTGCGATCTAATGAGAAGAATATATTCTTAGATATTGCTTGCTTTTTCAATGGCTTGCGCAAGGATGATGTCATACAGATTTTAGAAAATAGTGGTCTTGACCCAGTAATAGGAATAAGAATTCTCATTGAGAAATCATTGGTAATTGAAGCTGAAGGGTGCTTGAGGGTGCATGATAGCCTTCAAGAAATGGGCAAGGAAATTGTTTTTCATAAATCACCCAATGATGCTGGCAACCGTAGTAGGATATGGTCCTTGGAGGATGCTAGTCTTGTGCTTAGAAATATGAGGGTAACACTCTCCCCCTTTTCTATGATTATGCATTCTTACTTCAGCAATATATTCCATGCATTTTTCATGTTATTATTAGTTTGATTGACTTATTGTTTATATATAGGGAACTGAAGCAATCCGTGGTATAGTGGTATAATTTGACAAACCAGATGTCATATATTTGGACCCTAAAGCCTTCTCAAATATGAGTAATCTCAAGTTACTTATCATATCACATTCTTCACATGACCAATTGAATCTTCTTCATGGACTTAACTGTCTTTCCAATTCATTGAAAGTCATAGATTGGAAGGAGTATCCTTTATATTCCCTTCCAGGTCAAACTCAATTTGATGAACTTGTTGATCTTAAAATGCAAGACAGCAAATTAAAAGAACTTTTGAGAGGAACTGGTCAGGTAATTAACTAATGGCGTCCTTTGCTTTGGTTTGTTTATCTTTAATTTGATACACGGATCACTAGCCTAGTTGTTGGCTTTTGAAAGCTTTTTTTTGTTGTTTGTTCTTTTCAGTTTCTACAATGTTTGAAATTCATTGATTTGAGTCATTCAACAAGCCTGATCAGAACACCAAATTTTGATAAAACTCCTAATCTTCGAAGACTAATTCTTAAAGGGTGTACCAAGCTTATTGAAGTTCACCAATCTCTCGGGTGCCACAAGAATCTTGTCATTGTTGATTTTAAAGGTTGCAAAAGTATTAAGAATCTTCCAACCGAATTGGAGATGAATTGTTTAGAGACACTAGTTCTCTCTGGTTGTTCAAAAGTTAAAAGACTTCCTGAATTTGGTGAAGGCATGGAACATTTATCTGAGCTTGATTTAGAGGGGACTGCTATATCTAAACTACCTCAATCATTGGTCAATTTGATTGGTCTTGCTCTATTAGAGGATTGCAAAAATCTGGTTTGCTTTCCCAGAGATTTTCAGAAGTTGGAAGCTATAAAGAAGATCAACATATCTGGTTGCGCAAAGTTTTCAAGGCTTCCAGAGAATTTGAATGAAAATAAGGTATTGGAAGTGCTTGATATGGGTGGTACTGCCATAAAAGAAGTGCCTTCATCCCTCAATAATTTAAAAGTATTATATCTTAGCAGATGCAATGGTTATGCACAATCATCATCATCATCATGGAATCACTATTGCTTCCTTCTCAAGCAGGCATTTAGGCTTCAAAGGCCTTCAACTTCAACAAAGTTTTTGTGGTCTCCTTCTTTTTCAAGTCTATCATCTTTGGTCGAGTTAGATTTAAGTTATTGTAATCCTGATGATGAATCACTATCCATTGAAATCAGCAATTTATCATCATTGAGAATATTAGGTTTGAGTGGAAACAATTTTGTTGATATTCCTTCAGGCCTCATTTCCAAACTTGGAAAGCTTGAATGCATTATTTTCAGTTATTGCCCAAAGCTTCAATCTTTGCCTCAGCTACCAACAAACCTACCAATGATAAAAGCAAATGATTGTCCATCATTGAAACATTGTATATCTCCGCAGCAACTATGGGAATTCATTGAGAATTTTGAATGTCAGGTTTATTTTAGTTCTCTATCACTATTATTTCTTTCTTTTACATTAGTCATTATAATTCTGTAACAGGCCAAATTTTTTGTTACAGACTCGATGCCAATATGTCTAAGACTCAGATGATGATGATGATGATGGATGGACACTTTACAAATTAAATGACTTATCTGGTGCAATTTTGACTTGGAACAATTCACAAGTTGTGAGTTATTTGAATCTATAGATTATTTGGTTTTCTTATTTGACTATGTCTTACTATGCATCTAACATGAATACTTTTTCATCACAGGATGACTTCTTCATCCAACCTACTCGCATATTAATTATTTCTGGTAGCGAAGTGCCATCGTGGTTTCACAATCGAAGTTATTTTTGTGCGGAAGATTTCTCAGTTCTCTTTTTTGGGCCAAGAAATGTGTCATTCATTGCAAACAGGCCTGATTCATGCGGCTCAAGTAGTGAATGGTGGGGCATAGCCGTATGCTTAGTGCTAGAAAATGATTTGCATAGTTATGCAAACTGTAATGGTGCTTCTGACATCCTTGCTTGGACTTATAGAGTTTCAGGAAATGAATATCCAGATTCGTACCGTTTCTGTGGCACTTTTAATCAATCCATAAGTCGCCATCAACTATTTATCATCTACATTCGTTTTTCCTGCTCATTTGTTATGGAACAACCACTTCAAATGGTGTTTTCTATACATGAGAAGTCAGTTTTTCAAATAGGACAGTGTGGGTGGCGTGTAGTGTGTAAAGAAGATGTTGAGAGTAGGCGAAACATTAGTGATGAAGGCTGTAGTTTCAGCACTGATGATAAGTTCATTGATGATACTAGATGATGAGTTGGATGATGGAGCGTCCAGCCCCCCTCTAAGCAATGGGAAAAGTTGGAACAACTAGTCCATGATTGATAATATAAGACGTTGGTTGGAAGAAAATTGTAATCCAAAGTATAAGACGACGTCAGAATGATTAATGTGATTTTTTAACTTTTGCTATTAAATATAGGACAGAGAGGAGATAGATGAAATATAATAAAAGTATAACATTAGAGCCAATTTTATCATTTTTTTTGGGGTAAAAATAGGAAAATTCTGTCATTTTAAGACAAATTTTGTAACATACGCAATTTTTTGCTGTGCATAGTTCTACTCTTGTTATTGCATTTTCACTCTTAGTCAAATTAGGATTCTCCCATGTATTTTTTTGTTGGACTTGTGCTTTGAACCATGGAGTGATTGTTCTGAAGTATGACTTTTTTTTAATGCCGGTCTACTATTTAATCAAGTTGTAAGATGGACAAAGCATATGTGTTTTTATGTTATTTATCAGATTCAACCTAACTCTAGAAATTAATAATAGACCATTGTAAAATTCTAAAAATAAATGCAAACAATAATTAATGACAAAAGATAACCATCAAATTGAAATTGAATATTCCTTAATAATTCTAAATATCTAAAATAGTTAAAAATTGTCATATTTTGAATTTTAGACTTAGAAACTCAGAAATAAACCTGATTTAAGTAAGTTATTAAACCTAATTTAGTTGAAGTTCTAGCAATATCTTGAAAAAATAGAATGGCTTTTAGGACTAAAGAGTAAATTAAATAAAATGAAATAGAATGAATGTCATATTTAAAAGTTAAATTTTCAGCTTAGGATTTAGTACTTGAAAGAAGGGAGAAAGAGTAAAGAAAATCATTTTTATTGTACTTGATACAACTTCTAGTTCTTAATATAAGAGTGTTGACTCCCCAAATCCTACTGCTTTAAAGTCTATTTTGAATAAATTTAGAGAGTCATAAAAGCAAAAGTGAAAATATTTTCATGAATTGGTAAAGAAAAATTTGTCAAAGATATCATATGAGTATAAGGGGAATATTAATAAGAAAATGATGTAAAATTGGTAATGATTGAATCCCACGGTTTTTTCACTCACAAATGCTTGTTATTGCTAGCTGCATATGAACATTATAAGCAAGTAAGAAAGGAGTTGATGAATAAGAAAGTTAAGTTGAGAAGATTTACTAATGCCAAGGCATACGTGCGAGGTGCTACGACACTCTATTTTAAGGAAAGAAAGTAATGTCACTAGTGCCACGCACCAAAGTAGGAGTGCCATTATCCTTTTTGAAGAGAAATACAATGCTTTTGGTGCCAGACACTGCGATAGGAGTGCCACAGCACCCTGACAAAACTCAAAATGCAAAGTTTCGTTTTTCTAGCATAAAAAGACCTAGAGGACCCGAAATTTAGCATTCTGGACGCTGTCTTTGACTAAGAAACGAAGGAAGTGACTAGAAACACATTTTTAGAGCAAATTGGAGTTAGATTTTAGGATTCTTGAAGATCTTAGAGTTTGAGATTGGAAGATTAAAGAGATTCAAGCTTCTTTCATTGGTTTTTCTGAACTTTTCCCGTTTCTTTCTTACTCTTTGATATGGACATGGAGATCCTATACATTTCTTGTTCTTTTTCAATTATGAGTAGCTAAACACCTTATTCTAAGATTATTTCAAACCATTGTATGTATTGAAACTCGTTTATTCCTCTCTTTTAACATTTATTGAATTTATGTGTTGAATTTATCTTAGGCTTAATACTTCTTAGTGATTGGCCACCACTCTGAATGTTTTGTTTATCTTAATTTGACTTGAGAAAGCTAACTGAGATATAAAACTTAGATAAATTCGTGCTTGCTGTAAAAGTCAATAGTTGAATGGAGGGTTTGTTGGTAACATAGAGATATAGTTACTAACATAGTATTGTCAAATTAAGGTTGGTACTTCAAATGATCTTCATTAAATGTTATAAGAGATTGAGCATTTTATGGACAATTAAAATTTGGTTTTAACTTGAGAGGGCTTAATCAAATAATTCAGAACCTTAGACAAAGACATAGTTTCATTAAATGCTAGTAGAAAGGGATTTAGTTAGGTTTCATAAGACATAAAGGAGAGAAATAATCATAGGCTCCAATTGTCTTAAAATCAAATTTGCAATTTTAGTTATTTTATCATTTTGGAACAACTGAATTTTAAGTTATAATCTTTTAAATGATTTTACTTAACCTAATTAAGAACATAGGTGCTATAATAAACTGATTTTTGCCTTAATCCCCATGGGAATGATATTTTTATACTACTTTCAACCCATACACTTGTAGTTTATGCTTGACTGCGAGCAAAAAACTAGTTAACTAATCTGAATATAATAAAAAAATTAGCTAAATTAGTTATTTGTAATAAATAAGTATTGTCTTTTTTAAAATATCCTTACTAAGTAAGTGTATTAGTTAGAATTACTATTATTATAAGGACTACTTTAAAAAAATAGATAAATATAAAGGACAAAATAGATTAGAGTTTTATATTTAGAATCAAATTAAAAGTTAAATTAATGCTTATATCAATGACAAGAGATAGTATTTTGACAGATGACAGAGCAATTTTTGTTAAAAAGGAAAGGCATGTGTTTGAGCCGGCGGCTGGTGAAACCCGATCCTTCGCTGTTGCACATCCTTTGTTGGCGGAGAGTACTGAGTCGTGACAGTGCCGACCGAGGAGCTTTAGAATTTCACCTGCAAGATAGAGGAATTCGAAAAGCAGCGCCCTTCATTCCTCACTGCTCTTTCGCCATTGTTGAGGGAGTGTCCACTCCTAATCTTCTCCTTTCCTTCTTCCTCGTTGCTGATTTCTGGTTTGCCGTTTTTGGGGAGCGTTGTGTGGGATCGAGCTTCTCTTCTTCCTGCTTCGCGAATCTGCTGTGTTCCTTTCTTTGGGTATGTTCAAACCTCTTCTCCTTCCTGTGTTTTTTTTCCTTTTCAGAATGCTGCATTATATGCTTAGTGCAGGATGTTGCCTCTCTCCCTCGTTCCTTTGTGTGCGTGGATTTGGAAATTGTGGTTTTCTTCCAATCGGTGCTTGGTTTGAGTTGCAAGGTTTGGTGATTATATGCAATTGGATTTATAGCTTGAATGTATGAATTCTGGGGCTGTGATTTTAAGAGAAATATTATGGGAGTTTGTCACATTGATTGTGTTTGATAAAAGGGAGAATTAGAATGACATCCTTAGGAAGGAAAGAAAATGGCAGTTCTTATTTTTTATATTGGAATTTGCCACTTAAAAGTTGCCCTATTATTCTTGGAACCTTTTAATAATTATACATATTTTTTTGGAACTTCATATCAATTCTTCATTCATAAAATGTTTGAAAAGAAATAGGCTTTTTCAGACGTGTTTCTATATAGTATTTTGATGTTGGATAAAAATTTAGATTCTACTTTCGGTTGACTGCTATTTAAATATTGCTAAAAATAAAATTTGGAAACCTTATGACTTTAGAATGGTGTTGGAAAGAAGATTATTAGGAAATTTCACTGATTAAATTTGTTTATTCTTAAGTTAGTCCTGGGGTGCATGCAAATTGCAAAGTGCCGGATGAAACGTCTGTGAATGGAACTTTATGGAATTGAGAAGTGGAAATTGTTGGCGACAAGATTGAATAATTTATAGTATAAGAGTTACTCATTTGTTCTTATTCATAAGACACTTTCAATATATTTTACGTAAATTAAAATAAATCTTAAACTGTTTTAACTTTTTTTTAAAATATAATAATTTTTTAACTTTAACCCTATATGATACATACACCTTTAAAAGAATAGTTATCTACACTATAATAAATAAAAGGCAAAATAGTATATTAAAAATTTAATGAGATGAGTTATAAATAAGACCAAAGAAAACATTTTCTCTCTATCTTATAAATAGAACTAAGAGTATTTATTTTTCTATACTGAAATTTGGAAAAGGGTTCCCAGTTCGCCGTTGCCCATATATATAACATTGATTCGAGACATTACAAAGAAAAATAAATTTTAGAATGAATTCATTCGGAATAAGTTTCCCGTTATTTGTACTCCCTACACCTCAAAAGTATGAATTAGAGAATAATTCAAGTATCTTCAGCAACGAGAAATAGGAACACCACATGTCATCAAGATCAAAACTTGAAAAATTGATTTTCATCCATATTTTGGCACAGATCAAAGAAGCATGGAGAGAAAACTGAAGAAATTAAGACAAAGAGGAAGTCCAGGTTCAGAGCAACAAGATCTCCATGTGTCAAGTGTGTAGCATGCATAGTCCACATTGTTCTTGGTGGTACTCAGCTCTTAACAACATAAACAAATTCTCTGATTTTAATTAGTAACAACTTTTATTAGAAATTCTTTTTGCACTAATTGATGTCTTATGAAATTTACCCAACATTTGAAAAAAGAAATTAGCGCCCCAAGAGAATCTTCTACGTAACTTCATAATACAACTTGAAATCTGATACTCCTTTGGTTCTCAATATAAAATCTAATTAACTAATTTGAGTAGATTAATTATATTATTTAAATATGTTAATATGATATGTTTTTTTAAAATATCCGAAATATCTTTCTTGATCCTCTCCCTCTCTCTTCTATTTGATTATTATTAGGGAATATCAATAAAGTCAATTTAAAAAATAATTAATAAATGTGTGAAACAGATCTTACATAAAAGATCAACATCAACTATCCAATTAGATACTATATTAAGAACCGGAAAAGTACAACAGTTTCAGTTTCATAAATATACTGAAACCTTGTAAGATTCAAGCAGAATCAAACATCCGAGTAATAGAAACCATAATAGAAGAAACAGAAAGGAAACACAAAATTGTTACTCCTCCAGTCCTTATAATATCAGACCTGTTTTGTAATGTAATTTGTACTATAAAATGGCTATTATATTAGGGACCGGAGAAGCATCTTAAAACCAAGAACAAGGAGAGAGCAATTG